GTTAATTTACTTAGATGCTCACCGTAAATTTACCACTAGATGGTCTCAGTTTCACAAACATGGAGTACAGTGTTAAACCACTTCCAATTTGCAACTGTTGAGCATCTAGCGTCTAGGAATAAAATAATATTATTTTTTTGAAATTGTTACTCGGATGTGAACTCCAACCTGTTCGTATTTCTGTAACCGACATTCCAACATGAATCCTGCCCTTTTGATGTTATCATTTAGCTCCTTAGCTATGAACTTGCCAATTTCTTGTTGCAAACGTTTGTCCCTTTTGAAATAATGATTTAATCGACTTAATCTGATGAGCATAGCTCAGCATTTGATCTTTTTATGCATATCTATAGTACACTTACTTGACGTTTTTTCTTTCATACTGACAAAGGCAGTATTCCCATGGAATTGGCAAATTATTGCAGTTTCTTGAGTCTTTCCATTTTCTCAATAGCGACGAGCCCTTACTATACGGTTTCGTACTTAGATATGAGATATTCTTGAAATTATCCTTTGGTTGAAACTAAAAAACAACTGGAATTTCCGTAGCTAAAAATCCATCAGTCCAAAAAATACCCACATACAAGATATCCATGAAAGTGGCATGTACATCAAAAAGAGTCATCAGTTGCAGTGATTTGTACTGCAATTCTTTGTGGACAAGGGTGCCGCGTAGTCTTCTAGGAAGTGCAACGATGAGAAATGGATTTCTGTTTTCATATCGTCCCAATCGGACTCCTTTAATCTGTAACAAAGTAATTTCACAGATATTTGCTATTTATTTAGTGGGCAGAGCATGAGTGCGACTTCATAGGATTATGTAAAAGATCACTTACTCCGTCCGAACGTGGTCCCTGATATCCTAAAAAGAAGAGAAAAGAATTCTCAAAGTTGTTCTGATTTCTTCTAAAGAATTCTTCAAAATCATCATCTGTGCGGTAAAGATTCATGCGACCAAGCTTCAACGCTGCATGGGCAACCTTTGGTACTCCTTAATGAAAAAGTTCTCATCTTCTGTATAGCATATTTTAGACTTTCTAACCTGGATAAGCATCCATGAATTTTTCGAAGTACTCGAGCACAGATAAATGAGGTTCT